TCACCAACATATACCTGCGACTGGGATAGTACTGAGTAAATAACAGGTGCTCAATAAATACTGTTTAAATAAATTAGTGAATAAATATTACTATCTGTTAGACTGCTGAATCCTAGTATTTTTAATGGATGTTTACCGTCATGTATATAAACATTTCCTAGATAGACAATTTGTCAATACAAATACTTGGATAAGTATTCACAAAAAGTGTGTTATAGAGTTCAAATGAATAATGCCTGCTGAAGATTGCATATAAGGACATAATTGGGCAAATATTTAGGTATACTGTTTTATATAGATCAGAGGTTTGCAAACAAGGCTAAATGTCAAATTCGGCCCACAGGCCATCTGTATTTGTAAACAACATTTTATATAAGTATGGCCAACTCATTTTGCTTATACATTTGTATATGGTTTCTTTTATTCTACAATAGCAAAGTTGAATAGTTGCCACAGAGACTGCATGGGCAGAAAACCTGAGATGTTTAAGATCTGGCCCTTTTCAGAAAAAAAATAATAATAATTTTTGACATAGAATATAACTCAATGCTTTTCTTCTCCTTACTCAAATGATAACCTACCAACTGTAGTTAAATTTTAAATAAATAATGGCATGGAGAGTTCACTTTATCAAAGTTTTAGAAATTAACCTGAAAGGTATAAAAGGAATATGGAATACAAATGTATATACATGTCAGTTTTCATGGAGAAAAGAAAGATGATCCCAAAAGAGAAATTCCTTCCCTGAAAGTATCTTGTAAAATACTGTAATATAAATTAACACCCAATTAATAAACATCAGTTACATACAATATATGTCCTGTTCAGTGCTGAGCAGCACAAGCAAGTCTTGAAAATCAGGGCTTGCACCATTCCTCAAGTTGATATATTTCTTTCTTGCTGTGCAGCCAATAGCTGTGAAAAGGAATCTTTTCATAACAAAACCTCAGTAGCCAATGGAACAATAATGGGTTTTAATTACTCCTCACTGACAGAAAATCTACAAACTGAAAATGGTCTTGGAATATATCTCTCTTAATCTGTATGATTTATGACTCTTCTGCCTAACCTCACCAGCAAGAAATCATCCAGTCCCTACAATGTTTTCAATGACAGAAACTAACACTTCATTGGTATCTATATCTCACACTATTCTATGTACTTTATTATACATATGGACCATCAGTTGATTTTTACAATCCCAGTATGAGGTAGGTACTATTATTATCCTATTTACAAAGGAGGAAAGGAAGGCACAAGAGGGTAAGTAATTTGTCTAAGATCACACAGTAAGTAGTAGATCACTATAGATCACAAAGACTTCAAAATGGAGGAATGCTAAAAATAATGTTATGCCAAAAATTTTAAACCAAAGTGAAATGTCAAAACTTCTTAAAACATACTACTTCTCAAAATTAATTCAAGAAGAAATAGTATCTGGATAACCATTTATTATAAAAAATTCAAAATTTAAAAATTTACCACAAAGTACTCTAGCTTCTGATAGCTTCATTGGTAGTTTGCAATGTACATTTAAGGAAGAAATAATACGAAATGACTACACAAATTAATTTTATGTTACAAGATAATATCAGAAACAAGGCAAGATAACTGCTCTATAGCCCAAAATGTGAAATAATTAGAAATGCATGTAACAAATGATGCATAATACCATCATTAAAAACTAAATAAAACTGATGAGAAATAAGAAAAATAAATGGAAAGAAAAACATATTCATAGATTTTAAATTTGATATTACTAAGAGCCATTTTCTCCAAAACGATCTACACATTTAACAAAATCCCAATAGTGCCAGGCAATATTCAAGCAGGCATAATTAGCAAATCTGATAATCAGATGCTGAATTACATATAGAAAGGTGCAAAGGAACTAAAATAAGTTTGGAAAAGAAGACAAAAGTTGATTTATATATCTATTTTTTAAAAACTATAAGTTCAATAATTATAGAGCTGTAGTAACAAGTTATTACTGCTGACACAGGATATAAATCAATAGAAGAGAATAGAATTCAGAAATAGATCTATATGTGTGTGTGTGTGTGTGTGTGTGTGGGTGTGTGTGTATCGTCAATTGATTTTAAACAAAGTGCCAAGGTAATTTGATAGGGAAAGGATTATCTATTCAATTAACAGTGGAACAATTGAATATATGTATGCAAATGAATGAACCCCAACCTTTAACTCAACCAGATATTAAAATGAACTCAAAATAAACATACAGGTAAAGCTGAAGTTATAACTTCTAGAAGAAAACGATAAATATTTTATATACTCTTGAATTACACAATGTTTCTTAAATAAAGACATACAAACCATAACCATAAAAGAAAAAATTAAATATGGAATATTGTCAAAATTTAAAACTTGTGTTCTTTAAGTTGGGCACAGAGGTGCGTGCCTATAATCCCAGGAGGCTGAAGCAGGAGGATCACAAGTTCAAGGCCAGCCTCAGCAACTTAGGGAGGCCCTACAAAATTTAGCAAGATTGTGTCTCAAAAAAAAAGGATGGGGATATATCTAAGTGGTAAAGTCTACATGGGTTAAATCCCCAGGGAAGGAAGGAAGGAAGGAAGGAAGGAAGGAAGGAAGGAAGATCATTCTGCTCTTTAAAATATAGTATTCAGAAAAATTAAATGGGCCATGAGTGATGGCATACACCTGTAATCCCAATGACTCAGCAGACTGAGGCAGGAGGATTTCAATTTCAAAGTCAGCCTCAGCAATTTAGCAAGGCCCTCCTAAGCCACTTAGTAAGAACCTGTCTCAAAACAAAAAATAAAGAAACTGGCTGGAGATGTGACTCAGTAGTTAAAAATCCCTGGATTTAGTCCTTGGCAAAAAAAAAGAAAGAAAAAAAATTAAATGGGAGAAAATATTTGCAATGCATTTATCTGACATTGGACTTGTGGTCTGAATATATAAAGAATTCAAAGACTGGGGATTAGCTCATTGATAGGTGCTAGACTAGCCTGAGTGAGGCCCTGAGTTCAATCCCCAGCACCACATTAAAAAAAGAAAAGAAAAAGTGAAGAGAAATGTACAAAATTCACCCAGTGTCACATGTACCTATATTCCCAGCTACTTGGGAGACTCAGACAAGAGGATCACCTGACAAGCCCAGGAATTTGAGGTCAACCGGGATAACAAAGTGATATCACCGAAATCCTCATCTCAAAAAAAAAAAAAGAAAAAAGAAAGAATAATTCCTACATGTCTTTTGATGGAGAAAGGAGACTTGTTGAGGACTGAACCCAGAGCCTGCTAAGCATGCTCTCTGCCACTAAGTTTTACTCAACCGTGAATTCTTACAAATTCTTATATCTTAATAAGAAGTCATATAACCCCTTCAAAAAATGGGCAAAAGACTTAAACTGACACAAAACAAATCCAAAAGAAGCTAACAACAAATGTAGCTCAGTTGTAGAATGCTGCCTACTATGGTCAACAAGTATAATAAACTGAATTATGTCCCTTCACCTCCTATGTTGAAAGCCTATCTCCCAGTGTGAGGAGATAAAACCTTCCAATAGTAAATCAAATTTAAATGAGGTCTTAATCCAATAAGACTGAAGTCCTTTAAAGAGGAAAATACACCAAAGATATGTGTGCACAGAGAAAAAGCCAGAAGACAAGCCATCTGCAGGCCAGAGACCTAAAGAGAATCCAAACCTGCAGACACCTTCATCTTGATTTCCAGTCTCTGGGATGTGAGAAAATTTTCTGTTGTTTAAACCACCCAAGTCTGTGGTATTTGGTTATGGCATCACTGAAAGACTAATACAATGAGCTTATAAAAAGATGCGAAACAGCATTAGATCTCATGGAAATGAAAATTAAAACAATGGCATATACTATACACACACTGGAAGAACAAAAATGAAAGACTGACATTACCAGGTTTGCCAAAGATGTAAAATATTTGGAACTTTCATAAATAGTCATGGGAATATAAATTGGTATAAGCACCTGAGAAAATACTTTGGCAATTTCTCATAAACACATTCTTACCACATAGCCCAGCAATTCAGCTCCTAAACATTTACCCAAAACAAATGAAAACAAATGTCCACAAAAGACTTGTATATAAATGGTCAGATAATTTTATTCATAATATCTCCTAATGGAAAGCAATCCACTGACCATCAACTAGTGAATGGATAAACAATTTGTGCTATTCCATGGGAGACTACTCATCAATAAAAATGAATCAACAATATATGAAATATCAGGATATATTTAAAAACAAAAGAAGTCCAACACAAAGAAGTCCAACAATTCTTTAATTCTGCTTTTAAGAAAGTATAGAAAGTACAATCTTATATACAGAATAGAAAGATAACCAAGATATTTAGAGCTGGGGCTGGCTATGGGAAGGGGAATGGGGGTTGGATGTGAAGGGAACTTTCCGGAGTGATGAAAATGTTGTATTATCTTGAGTGTGGTGCTTATTAATCACACAGGTATGTACATCTGTCAAACTCATAAACTTAAAATAGGTGTATTTTATTGCACAGCAGGCAGTCAGAATAGTCACTGCTACTGAGAAAGCAGTCAGCCATTAAGTGGCTTCGGATTTTCTAGCACACTGGTTCTATATCACAGAGGACAATAATTAATCTTCCTTTTCTAAAATGGTGCCCTGAAAGAACCTTTGTTTCTTACAAGTAAAAGAAATGAACAACTGGCTACTTAAAGTTTTTGACTTTCTATTTTAATTCTTCTAATAGGGCCTACTTGGCACATAGAAAAAGCTAAGTAAACATTTGTTGAAAGCATGATTGATACACTGATAACAGTGTTATCAATCATACACCTTGTTGATTTGAATTAAGTCTTTCAAATAAAATATCAGTGTGTTTTGAGAATTAAAAACAATTTTATTTTTAAATAACTTTTTAAAACATTGAAAGTAGAAGTCTTTTTCAAAATTTGTATTAATGTGTAAAAAATTAATCTGGAAAATAATTTAGCATAGCAACACAAATATTAAGTGTACTCAATGAGATAAGATATTTGTTTTAAAAGAATTTCACAATTTATAGTCATATTAGAAGAAAGCAATCTTACTAATGTATACATAAATTATTTTGTCTGATTTTTTGATAAAACACAGTGAAAATGACTTAGAGAAAATAGCAGCCCAAGATACAACTAAAATGAAGCTGGAGGCAGCAGAGGACCACACACCATGAAATGTAAACAGAAAGCTAGATGCCAGACAGGAAGAGAAGAACCAGGAGAACAGTCTTTACAAATACAGGTAAATGTAACTAAGGCTGAATAAGAAATCTGATAGTTTTTAAGAAAAAAAAAAGGAGGGATCAATTATTCTGTAACATGCACAAGAATGCTGCAGAATAGGTAAATTAATTTTTCAGGGTTTATCTCTGAATCATTTTCTACCTTATGGAATCTTGCTTTCAATAATTAGTGATTTATGTCATGGCAAGCCACTTACTCCCAAAAGATTTTTTTCCTCAAAAATAATTGGATTAGGTCTACTACCACTAACTAAAACAGTGAATATATATCATATATCCCTCAGAAGCATCTTACATTCTTAGGAAAAACAATTATGTTTGATTGGCATGGTAAAATTAGCTTAATGAAGTTAGAAGATAAGAGAAGCTTCTAGAGGAGAGAGCACATCATACATGGAGAACTATTTTTATATAAACTTCAAAAAGGTGTCAACCAAAATTTTGTAATGGTCATATAGACTTATTTTGATTGTGACATTTATTCAAAGTACTCTTTTGGGAATGAAGTAAACAAACACAATCCATAGTAATTGATTTCTAAACAAACACAATCCAAGTAAGGATCAAATACTTTTATGGTTATAATACACACACACATACACACAGACACCTCTCTAACCAATTTCCTTCTTCTAATGCCTGGATGATGAAGATTATGTTATCTTCAACTTACTGAAATTATTTGATACTCATAATAATATCACTTGGCATCAGATTCAACAATAGGTAAGGACAAAAACTATAATTAAAAATTTAAAACTTTGTCCTATAATTTGAGCATTTATCTAAATTCATAGTTATATTTTAATAATAAAATCAATTCTAAACATACAAAATCACAATATAAACAAAGTGATAGCATAATATTTTTTAAATGGGGGTTGGGGGGCAGTATTAGGGATTCCACTCAAGCCCTCGTGCATGCTAGATAAGCAGTCTATCACAGAGCTACACCCTACCCTAGACCTTTTTTCATTTCATTTTGAGTCAGGGTCTCAGAAAATTCACCAGACTGGCCTCAACTTTGTGATTCTCCCATCTCAGCTTCTAAAGTAGTTGGAGTCAACAGGCATGTGCCACTATGCCCAGTTATTTTAAAATTTCTAATGTATCAGGCTGGGGTTGTGGCTCAGTGGCGGAGCACTTGCCTTGTACATGTGAGGCACTGGGTTAGATCCTCAGCACCATATAAAAATAAATAAACAAAATAAAGACCTTTTTAAAAAAAAATTCTAATGTGTGATCCAACATAAGAATGTATTAAAATTGAAAGTAGGGATATGAAGGATAGCTCAATGGTTGCATGCTAGCCTAACATGCTTAAGGCCATGGGTTCAATTAGCACCATAAATTAAAAAGTAATAATAATAATAATAATAATAATAATAACAACAAAAATTGAAAGGAAGAATAGGAATATAGCTCAGTGGTAAAACCCAGCATGAGTGAAACCCTAGGTTTGATCCCCAGCACTGCAAAAAAGAAAAAGAAAAAAGAAAATTCATTGACTCATTCAATTAACAAATGCTTACTATATACAAAGAATTATAAACCTTGTAATGGATAAAAAATAATATAAAAAAGAATTCTTGTTCTTAAGGATCTTAAAATTACAAGGAAAGCAAAGGGATGTACATACTACAAAACAGCCATTTTTTTTCTTTTTTATAAAACATACAGAAAATACAAAGCACCATATGATAAAGTGCTATAAAAGTTAATATAAATTGAAAAAAGATTCACAGGAAAGAATCTCTAACATGTGAACAGCCAATCTGCATGTAGGAAGTAATCTGAGTTAGATGACAAATGGAAAAGTAGAACAGAGAATATGATGAGATTTCATCCTGATAAAATACCATATGTAAAAATTAGGAAATGAAAAATACTAACAAGATAAGTATTCTCAAAATTTCTCAAGAATACATACTCTTGAGTCCTGGGCAGTACAGCCAAAAGCTCAAGATTTCTAGGAAATTTATTTGCATCTTAAAAATAATGTAAAAAATTTGGTGCTCTCTTAGTATATGCAAGGCCCTGGGTTTGATCAACACTTTGAAAAATAAAATAAAAATAAAACTTACAGTCTACTTCTTTATATACCTATGTTTGCTTTATTATAAAAATATAACATTTTCCTCTCAAAAAATTTCCAGTAAAACTAATACTCCAAGAAGATTGGGGGTGGCTGTGATTATCTTGTGTGAGTTCCCTAAATAATCCCTGTAAAAAGAATCAGCATAGAATAAAGAGAAAATAGATGGTAGACATGCCTGAAATGCTACTTTGGCTCAGGGAATAGAGTGGAGACTCTTTAACCAGTCAGTCTTGAGTTTTAAAATCTCAGTCAGAAGACAGTACAGGTTTGGCACATGAAAAACATTTTTAGACATAAGGAATAACAGTCAGATCTATTCAGCAAAGATTAATCTGGCGGAGACATACAGGAAGGGTTTATTCATTTAACAAATATTCCTGGGTACCTCTAATGTGTGGTAATGGATAAGCTGTTGGAGAACTGAAAAACAGAAGCAAAATTCCTGATCTTATAAGAACTTATATCCTAGTGTGGAGAAGTAAACAATAAAGTTGAAGGAAGTAATGAGACCATTCAGAAAATAAAATAGAAGCAGCAATTATATATATAGTAAAGGAAGGGATGTTTTGGAGCAACAGAATTATTATTATTATTAAGTGACTGAAGACACAGTAGAAGTAATAGGAATAAAGGAATAATAGGAAAAAGTCTATGAAGAGGAATGGGGCAAAGGTATTTTTTTAGGTGTACACATTTGGAGTTGCCTGCTGATCTAATGGATAGAAATCCAAGACTCAAAAAATTCAAGTCTAAAGATTCAGACTTGGTGGGGCTAGCATTGTAGCTCAGTGGTAGAGCACTTGCCTAGCACATGTGAGGTGCTGGGTTCCATCTTAAGCACCACATAAAAATAAATAAATACAATAAAGGTATTGTGTCCATATACAACTAAAAATATTTTAAAAATATTTAGAATTGCTGAATGCAGGCAGACACTAGTAGAGTTCACAGGGACAGAAAAGAACACAATTAGAGGGCATCCAGGCTCTGTAGTGCATGCCTTTAATCCCAGTGACTCAAGGGGACTAAGGCAGGAGGATGGCAAGTTAGAGACAGTCTCAGCAACTTAGTGAGACCCTGTTTCAAAACAAAATAAAAAGGGCAGAGATGTAGTTCAGTGGTAAATCATGCCTGGGATCAATCCTTAGTACCAAAAACAAAAGAAGAGTAAAGGGCAAAGGGCAGAAGACAAGAGACTTGATAAATATTCATGAGGGTAGGGGTAAAAAACAAAAGCAAAACCCCAAAGAAGAAAGAAACTAAGAGAAATATAAGAAAAACCTAGCTAAGGACTAATTGGAAGAAAGACTTTGAAAAGAGATGTTAGGATATGTGTATGCATTTTTTTCCTTTTCACCTGTTCATTCTTTTTCTGAACCCATTCCTTGTGCTTTTCTTCAGCAATTTTCTTTCTTTTTTCACGTTCTTCAATTTTTTTCTTTTTTCTAGTTGTGGTTTAATTCCTGTGGATTTCATTTAAACAAAAGACAATGTTTAAGGGAAGTACCCAAATCACATATTTTAAAAAAGGCTGAACTTAACCAAATTAAACAAGAATATAGTTTCCATTATACAATATATACCACTACTGATAATAACTTACTTAAGTAACTAGTCTACAATGAAAGAAAGCATTGGTAAAAAGTATAAGTCATTTTTTAGAAATGCAAATAATTGCTTGGCAGCAAAACAGTAGTTTCTTAGACTAAATTTCAGCTAAATTACCCTCATTGAAATCAACTTTTCCACACACAAATTTTGGCACCACTGTAAGCTATTGGCAGTAGCTCAAGAGAATTGCAACTTTTTTTTACAGTTATAAAAAGTTTCAAGATTCTTGCTGAAGATAAAGAATAGGAATTAAGTAATCCCTAAATTAAAATTTTAATTCAGAGTTACACCAAAGAAGAAATGTAAAGAAGGTATTCAGTTTCCATAGAGAAAAAAAGAATCAGAGTTTTCTTCACAGATTTTATAGCTGTTGGGATATAAAACAAAACCAAATTCATACCTCAGATTATTTAACTGTCTTGCTGTCACCAGAATCTACACATCTGGGCATTTCCTCAGGAGAAAGAATGTGGAAGGTATGGCCAAATAAAACTACAAGTTGAATGCCACCACTCTGTCACTCATCAGCTAAATTATGGCATTAGTTGAGAAAGCTGTTCAAACTAGACTTCTCTAGGACTCTACAATCATAATTACTGGTTAGTTTTCTTCCTTCCTTAGATACTAATAATCAGATACATTTATGAATCTTCCATTGGTCCCCCTTTCTCCTTCCATCTTTCCTTTCTCCCCAAATACTTACCTCCATGGGCAATTTTCCAACTCTCAGGTTAATTCCAGGGTCTTAAATGAAGATAAAATTTTACACCAAGAACATATTTTTTTTTTGCATTTTAGAATAACTAATCAAAAGATACTTGTTTACCATGACTTCTGATCTTAAAATTCCACTGCAAAGAAAATAGTTGCCCTATCTCACTTAGAAAATCTTCAAACTTTGAAATATCATATCTCACAAAACAAATATCTACCTTGATAGGATTCTTCACTACCTCATAGCTGTTATTCCTTTATTACTCACTCAATAAACTTTAATTGAGTGCCTGATATTGATCTAACAAGAACTGTGTGTGTGTACACACACACACACACACACACACACACATACACACACAGAAAGATGAAATCCTAGAAGTCTCTCATCTAATCTTTTCTGTATATACCAAAGAATAAAGTGCTACACTGTGAGTTACTGGGTATAAAAAAAAAGGAGTTTGGAGAAAAGAACAAAAAGGGAAGACAAAGAGAAATGGTTTGAACCAGGATAGTCAGAAATGAGCAGTTTCTTAAAATAGTGAAAGAAGATGACTTTAAAAGAAGTGAAAGATGCGGAAGGGGACGGTGATTAATTTAATGTGTGGTACTAATTTCCTCTTTAGATAGAAAGAGGTTTTTTGAAGACAGTAAATTGAACACTATGATGAAGAATAAAAGTCAAAAGGGATGATTTAGAGCTCTTATTAAGACTGAAGGCTGAGTTTGAAATGATCAGTACTATTCTGAGGGAGATTGACTAGAAGGTTATGACAATATACCCTATAAGGGGAAGACAGTCTGGACTTGTGCCAGAAAACAAGTAAAAGGAGAAACACACAGAGTGTGTGTGGGTGTGCAGATACGCATGTGTGTATGTATGTGTATATACATGTGTATAAATTTACATACAGTAAAAGGCTAGGTATAAATCTGACAACTATACATTCGAAATTTTCCAAACCAGTTCTAAATTTTCTTTTAAAGAAAAGTTTAAATGTATGATTAAGCATAATTGATTATATTTATATACTTTTTAAGAGTCTTAAAGGTAACTCAAAAGGGGGAAAATTAAGATGTTGCATTACTATTTTATGAATACCAAATTTTAGTTAATGTTGATATAGGTGAAAATAAAGAAAAGATCCAAAAGTACCTAGAAAATTCTACCACTGACCTGAATAGTACTGTATTCTTATAATGTCTATTTAAGTATTTGCCTACCCAGAATATACATCACATTCTCATACACTACCCTCTCTTCCAAGGCTAGCTCCTCTTAGAATTTCCCATGCTGCATGGCTCCATCTGTTCACCACGGAGGCAGGCCTCCTCCAGGATACAGCAGGAGTCTTCTTTCCAAAAGCCCCTGCCTGGTCTTCTGGTACACCACTGAATTTCAACAGGATTATAGCTATTTTCCCATAGAGTAAACATTTGGTTATGGAAAACCAAACTCCAAAGAGGGTCCTAAACATGTATCATTATTTCAATATATTTTGCCTATTTTCAAATGATTTTTTACTATTGAAGGTAACAAAAACAAAAAAAACAAAGTGACAATTTTGAGTTTCACCAGCTCTATATCCTACCCTACTCCTTCCTTAAGGGCTGATAAATTAAATAGCTGAATATTAAATGGTGAGGTTGAAAAAAATAACAGGAAAAAAAGTACCTGGACTAGTCACAAAATAAATAATTTTTATAATTTTGAACAGATTACATTAAAATGTGAAGTCAAATGTTAAAAATTAGAATTAGCCAAAGACCACAGAGAACTTAGAAGAATTAAAGAATTATTTTAAATAAAAAATGTAAATATATTTAATAACCTACAAAACCAATATGCTAGCTTGCATAATGTCAATGTTAATTTTCAGTGTTTACCATGTTTATCATTACAACATTATTACAAATGTATAACATTTTTAATAGGGTAACTATAAAGGGTTAAAACAATTTTTTAACTCAATCTCACAGAGATGTCTAAAACAAATTTAAATGTCTGTTACTAAAATAAAATTCATGAATGAAATGAGCTTCTTAATGATTCAACTATCCTTTAAGTCTTCCTTTAAGTGGGGCATGGTGGCACTTGCCAGTAATCCCAGCAGCTTGAGAGGCTGAGGCAGGAGGATTACTAGTTCAAAGCAATAAGCAACTTAGTGAGGCCCCCAGTAATTTAGTGAGACCCTGTTTGTAAATAAACTACAAAAAAGGACTGGAGATGTGACTCAGTGGTTAAGTACCTCTGCATGGTACTGAAAAAAATTTTCCTTTAAATGTTAAAGGAAGAAAATAAGAAAGCAAGAATAAGTTCAAAAAGCAAATACTGAGTCTGATCTATTTATTTCTAAAATATTTCTTAATAAAAAGCACATAAATTGGAAATCTAAAGAACTTAATACCAGTTCCAGCTCTGCCATTAACCGAAACCTTGGCAAAGTTACTTCTCTCGCCTTCATGCTTCTTAGCTTTTATAAGGATCTGAAATGAACCATTCCTTATGGTCAAAAATCTGTGCTTTTAATGACATGGTTTGTAAGCAAATTAGGGAATAGAATAAGTAAGGAGAGAAAAATAAGGGAAAGCATGACTTAGGAAATAAAGAGAAAGGCATGAAAATCCAAATAGATTTTGGCTAAAGTTTATGATGATAAGCCATCTTCTAATTCTGCATTGTTTTCTATCGATATCATCAGTCCCCCAACACCAAATGTCCCTCCTATATCCTGCAAAGCAAACTGATCCTACTTCCAATGGAAGTACCTCCAATTTACACTTTTGGATGACAGAAGTTAAACATTATTTCTGCAGAAAGCTATAATAGTTTTCAGCAGTATTCTTTAAAAGAAAAAAAATTAAATAAAGTTTTCACTCAAAATAAATAAAATATAAAGACCATAACAGCTCAAAATAAGCTAACAAAACATTGAGTAGATAACCCATATGTTATGATTGATAGCTACAATTCCTTGGCATGACTAACAGGCAAGATTCATTCAAAAATATCTTAAATTGCTTCAAAGTTAAGTAATGAAGTAGCCATAAGAAATGTCAAATTACTCAAAACATGAAAAGGCTTTAATACATACAAATAATTATACCCTGCTATATGCTTAATGGTTGTGGTAAGGGCTTTATATTTATTATTTTATACTGTTCTTGAAACAAATCTTCAGAGTAGTTATTATATACTTTCATATGTAATAACTAACTCATATTGAATTCTTTCTATATAGTAGGCCATATCCTGATATTCATTTAGACCTCATAATAACAATAAGAGGTAAATATTATTCTCCCCCTTTCACTGATAGTGACTCTCCTTACAAGTGACTTCTATAGTAGCTAGAAAAAAACGCAAATGAACTGTGCTTTACCACTAACTTACTCTACCAGTGTTTTCCAAGTTGTGAGTCTAAAATCAATTTAACAGATTATAATTGACTTTCATAAAAAAGAATACCATGTTTTGAATAAATTAAGATACTTTTTCAAATATATATGTATATACATCTATGTATAGGTTTATATTTATGTTCAACATGAAAAAATTAGATTTCTCACTGTGAACAAATATTTTTCAAAAACACTACACAAGGACTGATGAACAGTGGTAGAACCCTTGCCTAGCATGTGCAGGGCTCTGGGTTTGATCCCTAGCACTCCAAGAAAAAAAAGAAGCAGGGAAAATAAAAGCCACACTAAACATTGGAACTAGTAATGTTAAAAGAACTAGTAATGTTAAAATCTAAAGTTGAGGTAAAGGGAAGAGACTGGGGCCTCAAAAATAAACATTAATTCTGAAAACAAATTTAAAAAAATCTTCTCCAAAGGCTATGACTAGCAATGATAGAAATGCCAATACCAATAAAAAACAAAATCAGCCATCTTTATACTTTGTTTCATTTAATCCTCACAAAAATCCTATGACAGGTACTATTTTTCCCACCTTGTCCAGATGGGGAAACTGAAGTATAAAATCTAAATAAATTGGCTAAGATCACCCAGCAAGTAAAAAGACTAGAACTAGAGCTTTTATTAAGCCTGGCTGAAACCAAATCACAAAGTCTTTTTCAAGCCCTGTGCTTGCTAAGAGGAAATAAGTACTACTCTCACAGTGTACATTTCCAGGAATAAATTTGTATTCTAGAATACAAAGTATCATGTAAAAGGGAAATGCCAGAATATACTAATTTACACAATCATTTGAATCATTCCAAGTCTCCTGAACAGATGATTGCCTACCTGGTAGAAACCCATCACAAAAATAACAACTAGTTTCAAAACCAATATGAAAAATTTCAAGGAAGATCATAAAGGACAAAGAAAGTACAAAGCTTTAGTTCCCATGATTTTTTTATAATAACATGGTTACTAACAGACTAGAATAAACTAAAATATCCAACCATAGTGTACCAGTTTACTATATTTTAATATACATTAATACATGTTAAATATACTTTAATAATAAGCAGTCTTTTTCTTTTCTTTGCTTTTCTTTTTTTTTTTTTTTTTTTTTTTTTTTTGTGGTGCTGGGGATTGAACCCAGAGCATTGTGTATGAGAGGCAAGCACTATACCAAATGAGCTATATCCCCAGCCAATAATAAGCAATCATTTTAAAGTGATGTTGAAAAATATTTAATGAGGGCTGGGGTATAGCTCAGTGGTAACATGTTTTCCTAGCAAGCACAAAGCCTTGGGTTAGATCCCCAATGCAACTCCAAAAAATACAAAAAAAATTAAAATGACATGGAAATATATTAATAATATAACTGGCAAAAAAAAAAAAACAGATTGAAAAAGATTGAAACTATTTCATTAAAAACAAGAAGTATCTTTCACCATTTCTGTGATGAAAAGAAACCAGAGAGTGAGTCTGGATAGGGAGCTTAGGTGATGGCGAGTTATACAAATATATTTACTTGCCAGGGCACATGCTCTTTGGTAGGTAGAATAGATTCCTGTCTTTATTTCAATTTTTCTCTTCTTTCTTAAAACTTTTCCTGAGTATATAGTTGAATTTACCTAAGTGCAAAAGTCTATTGTATGTCTCTCTAGATATACATTTGTACATATAATCAGCCCTCTGTATCCATGGGTTCTGCAACCATGGATTTAATCATGCATAGATCGAAAATATGCCAAAAAAAATTGTGCCTATACTGAGCAGGGACACATTGTTTTCTTGTCATTATGCTGTGAGCAATTCAGTATAATAACTACTTAGGTAGTGTTCACATTGTATTAGGTGATATAAGTAATTAGAAAAGATTAAAAGTAGATGGGGAGATATATACGTTAAATGCCTTTATATAGAAAGACTTGAGCATTGAGTATTTTGGAATCCAAGAAAGTCCTGGAACCAAACCTCTTGGATACTTAAGATGACTGTTTTTATTTTTTAAAAACTTACATAGAAGAAAGTCTAGAAGGCTATATTCCATAATATTAACAAAGATTATTATTAGGTGTTGAAATTAAAAGAGCTTTTCATTTTCTTAATTATATTTAGCTATATTTTCTGAATGTTCTTCTAATGAATATACTGCTTCTATAATTAGATTTATTAAGATTGATATAGTAAACTAATACAAACAAATGCACACACATTGTTTTCAGGAACAATAAGATTAACATTTTAATTTGCAACAGCAACTCTACTCTGTGAGCTCAGTGTCATATAGAAAGAATACTGTCTAGTTGTACCTCTAGAGTTTTCTGTTGTAGTCGGTCACTTTCTTCTTTTTCTTTGCCAACAAACCACACCTCCCATGGTGTCAGGCTGCTTTCTCCTAAGTGGACCCGTTTCTGTTCTTCTTGGTTATCTTCTGATTCAACTTTACTGCTATGAAAGAAAGGATACTATAGAACTTGTACACGAAATACTTCTCTTACTAGTCAAAAATCATTTAACTATACAATGAAAACAAAATCTAACAACATATTTTCAATACTGTTATTTTAAAAACATATGAATCAATTATATAATGTAAAAATATGAAAAACCAGGAAAAGGAAATCTAATTTTGAATTACTTTACTCATTTAGTTATGCCACTCCCTTCAAAAAGCAAATTATTTAAAAACCCAATGGAATAACTTGAGCCCAACCTATGTGCCTCAAGGTCACTTGAGGAAATTATTTATTTCTAAAATTTTATTTTTTTTATTCCTAAAAATTCTATCTATACAAGTAATCACTAATTACTACTAGTACACATAATCTTTTGTAGGTGTGTGTATGGTACCAGGCGTTGAACCCAGGGCCTTGGACATGCCCCTGAACTATATCTACAGCTCCACTACCACATACACACATATACACATAACTTTAATCAGATCCTGGGGCAGACCTTTCCCTTTTCCTCCATTATATAGCATAGAAAAAAAGTAATGTGTACATATATACTGAGAGAATGATGAAAAGCAAATAATTTAATAATTAGGAATTCTGGGTAAAGGATGAACAAAAGTTTTTTATATTCTTTTTCTTTAAATTTGAAATTATTTTGAAATAGACAGCTATAGAAAAAAATATACCCTTCTCTTTTTCAGTGCTGGGAATCGAAGCCAGAGCCTCATTCATGTTAAGTATACTCTGTACCAACTGAGCTACACCCACAACTGCTGTGGCCCTTCTCTCCTTCAACATTTAATATTTTGTTTGACAACATTTTGCCAGTTCTTAGCGTATACAAGACTCTCCAATCTGTTTATCTCTTATCATTGTCTTCATCTCCACTTTGTACCTTCTGTCAGTCTGACTCTTCTGGATATACAGAAAATTAACTATATGAGTAAATAAAGAACAGAAGGATTTGGCTGGATACATAAGCCTCACAAAACTTATGGAAAACTTAACAATCAGTACTCATGGATAGGAAGGTTGTTCAGTACCCAACATAGCTCCAGGGGCAAGTTTATTATATAGACTCAGGTGTGTGTATCTTCAACATTGTTCCTTCTAACAAACAATTGCCTCACAACTGCTTTGTACCACTTTTTCTACCTCATAGATTCAGTTTCCCTAATTTTTTTGGGGGGGTTATGTTATTTAATCATCCATTCATGTCTTTTCAGAACTTGTATTCTAAGTGGAAAAGAGACATTGTTAATATATTATTTCTTAGGCACATCTTTCCTTTTTAGTCTTGCATTATGACCTCATCTGTTCTCAGCTTCAACTATCACTATATGCTGGTGATATCTGGATCAGCTATTCTGGGCCAGATCTCTATCTTAGAGATTTTTTTAGACTTATTTCTAACAATTTTATAGACAGCTCCATGATATTGAACTCAGTCAACTGAAAAAAAAAAAATCTAAGCATTTTCCAGCATCCACCTCCTCTTTCTTCCCCACTAAGAAAAATTTTACTCCTCTTATAATCCTAAGTGAATGTTACCACCATCCACCCAGTTACCTAATCCAGAAATCCAGATCTGACTCCACCCGCTACCCCTCCATGTCTGATTCCCCCTACCCTCATGCCCATACAATCACTAGTCATATCAATTCTACATCCTTCAATTTTCTCAAGTGATTCTCTTCTCCAACCTTTCAAACACTCCAAACATAAACAGTCTCTAGCCTTCCCTTTTAAATCATTCTCTAAACCTGTTGCCAGATTTGCCCCTACCAATGCATCCTTTTATCATGTAACTTCTCATCTCAAAGTTCTTCAGGGCCCATTTGCGCACAGGATGAAATCCAAACTCCTTAGCCTGACATCCATAAATTGACTCCTGCCTTTCTTTTCATAAATTGGTGATCCAGACTCTACATTTCAGTCATGTTGAACTTCTGTGGGTTGGTAAATACACTATGGTGTTGAGCTCTTCAGCTTTTGCCTAAAACTGAAATGCCTTTCCTCTACCTTCACATATGGCCAGATTAAGAGCTTACTTTCATAAGTAAAACAGCCTGGGGATAAAATCTCTATCTGCTTCTTCCTAGCTTCTGCACATGTTTAAATTTCTCTAAAAAAGAGATCTCATCTGTAAAATGGAGATGACAGTAGTAGCTGCATGAAGAAGCAAAGCACTTAGTATAGTTCTGGGCCCTCAGTAAGTACATACTATGCCATTTATTATAATTATTACTATAACTAACTCCTATTCTTCCTTCAAGATTTTATTCTGATACTATATTGTCTGGGAAACTTTCTAAAAACTTCTGGATTAACTGCCTTGGGCTTCCTGTCACTGGTTCCCCCTCTGCCACAGGCCATGAGTTCCTTAAAGAAAAGAACATGAATGAATGAATGAATGAATGAATGAATAAATAAGAACTTGGCTGGTTGTGATAGCATAGACCTGTAATCCCAGCAATGTAGGAGGCTGAGACAGGAGGATTGTATGTTTGAGGCCAGCCTGGAAAAATAAAAAAGGTTTAGGGCTGTAGATTAGTAGGCTGTAGATTAAAGCACCTTGGATTCAATCCCCAGGACTGGAAAAAAAAAGGAAAGAAGAAAACCAAATATGTCTTGACTGAGGGTCTAGATTATGAAACATTGTTGAAAGAAGAAATTAGTCAAATCAGTTTTTTTAGATAACACTTTAAATACTTCCTGCCTTAACATTTTTAGCAAATGTGTTCAAAAAGTATAGCATATAAACTACAGATATACTCATAATAAAGAAAGGCTTCATAATTAGCTATTTATGACAAGAAACTTATTAAGGCATAACTTTCCTAACTATAGTTATATGAAAGACAGAAAAGAACTAAATAGATAAGCAGTAGGCCCAAAGCATATTATAAAAGACTCCAGAAAAATACTTTTCATCATCTTGTTTTGATGTCATCTTTGATCATCTTCACAATCCCAGCCAATACACTTGAAGGTCAATCAATCTTTTAAGCATAAGTCTATTTGTACTGAAAATTATCTTGAGGGATTGGGGTGTGACTGAGTGGCATAATGCTTGCCTGGCATGTATGAGGCCCAGCACCCCTACAAATCTGAGCACATAGATATGTGCAGCCAATGCCTGAGTCTATCTCAAAGAAGCCTTACTCTACTAGTATGCCACAATCAGATGTAGCTAGTAAGGGACAGAGAGAGGCATAAAATCCCAGAGCTCTTGGTTTCTCTGTACTCTACAGAGGATGCTGATAGCCCAAAACAATGGCTGGGCTATGACTCAGGCTGCCTTCCTTCATCTCATCCCATACAAGCTATCCAGAACAACAACTAAAGGAACACAGTCATCTTCTAAAATAAAAGAAGAAGTGCTAGTTTTTCTGAACCATTTGAAAATAATCATGGTATCTAACTATTCTCCAGGAAGGAGAAACAGGAATTCATTCAACACACATTTATTGAGTACCTAATAAAAATCTAACACTTGCCACACACAAGACCTAACAAATTCTGCAATCTTTCTAGACCCACATCCTCAGTATTCTTTTGACTCATGGGGAATGAAATTAGGCAGCCTTAGCCCTATTAGCTCATTCAGGCTTTGGGTGAGACATAGATAGGTCTGGCTCCTCCCTTGACAGGTTCCATTTGATTAGCATTTAGGCTTGTGGAAGCTAATGCAGGGTCTCAGTAGTTGAGCTGCAGATTTTCATGGTCATTTATTCCTCAGGCTGATAAACTATGTCCACATTGTTTAGTCCTGTTAATTATGTTCAGAAGGTATTTCACACATCTTTAAAATGCATTTTAAAAATATCTAATACCCACTAAGTCCTAAAGAATCCCTACAAAACATAGTTGAAAATGGTCTCCTAAAACCCTACCTCTTACCACTGAGTCTATGGGGTTAATATGAGATGCCTCTTTCTTGTTTTTTCAAGCAGCCTGGACAGCCTGCATGGTTACTCTTCCTGGTTTCCATTTCCACCAACATACCTCTCATCTTTAAAAGAGTAACTTTTGTAACCATGTATGGGTCATTTCAGATGGTTCCACATTCCATTCATTCATTCCTTATACAGAGAGGGGCCATCTTGTCACTTACACATAAAGTATGGGTTCTCTGGTCTGCATTTTTTTAGATCTCCTGTATTGTTCCTTATATAGTTTGATGATTAGAAACTTGTAAATTGGCTTCTGAAGATGATGTTTACCCCAAAATAGACCTACATTATTATAGTGATAGGCCTTTTGCTTCTATTTCTATACACCCTAAAATAGTCATGCTGTATAAGAGGGAACCTGATCAGTTTACCTCACTACTAGGCCCAAATCTGCTAATAAATTGGTGTATGCCTTTGAGTCAGACTTTTTATTTGTGTTCTGTGATGCAGTTTTATCACATGTAAAATGAGTGGACTGAGCTGGGCTTTAATTTAATAAAATCTTGTATATTTTATTTATGGTCCCCAGTACCTAAACTAATATATGGCAAAAAATAGATTTTTGCTGACTGAATCTCTGTAGAAATAAACATTATGATGGTTTTTAATAATCCCTTTGCTTCAAATATTCTTTGATACAACAATAACTATTCCACTGAAAGTTCGTCCTCAGATGAGACACAACCCTGCCTCTGCATGCTGTGGTGGACTAATCTCTGTGCTTCAGCTCTTTACACTATTACAACCTACTACATAAAACACATTTTGGAACTAAGATTATGGACAAGAGTTCTTCAGTTCACCATCTGGATTTTTGAGGATTCGTAAAACTCCTGAAATAGAAGCAGTTTTGTGTGTTGGAGACTATATACGGGTCATTTTTAAGGAAACTGAGATAGCAGCAATTAAAGGGCTAAGAATCAGAAAACATGTCATCTTTAAGAAATGGCCCAGGACTCTCTGCAGAAAGGGCTGCATTTAAGGATGCAGGCGCCTGCTCAGCCTCTAAGGTGGAAGACAGGAGATTGTTTTGGTTTGCTGAAGGTACTTGGAAGGGTCCAAGGAACCTTGGGACCGGTTGTATCGGTCGGGCAGTCTCAGGTTTACCTGGCGCGCCCTGGTAACTCCGTTCCTCTCAGGCTCAACACCTCGGCCTCTACGTCATGGGCATCTTCGTCCACATCTTCGTCATCCTCTCCGTCACCATGTTTATCGTCAAACGAGAAGCTCTGGTGGCCGAGGGGAGACAACAGTGACATGGTGGAATTGCTGCAGCTCTGAGGCAGCGGCGACCATCAGATAGACGTCGCCACCACCCCAGCCTCTGCCCCCGGGGACCCTTCATGAGGACGGAGAAGGAGGCCATGGAGGCCTCAGACTCGGAACTGCAGTCCAGAGAGAACAGGATGCCGGGAGGGGAAGAAGCAACACTCCACTGCCACACATCCTGCATCTAGCCCGCCAAGTTCAAACCGGCAGCGCTGCAGCGTGGACATGCTCTCCCAGCAGGCCCCGCGCATGTTGGGCCCGGCCAATCCGGGCCGGCCCCGGTGCCGCGTTGCCATGGCGACGCAAGGAGGACGAGAGGGCTGTGTCTGGGCCTATAGAGCGTGGCTTCCTCTCTGTCTGCCCTTCTTCCTGTGTCTGGAAGGTGCCTGTTGCTTGTGAACTTATTCAATTCTGCGTCTCTTCCAGCTGACACGGGGGGGGGGGCTGGGCTTTTTTTGAGGTGTTGTTGCAGACCATTTGGTATTTGAAATAACGTTATTACTGAATAAAGCAACTCCTCTTAAAGGGAAAAAGGCAGAATTAAGGACTAACATCCACCCCTCGACCCCACCCCCCACCCCAACACACACATAAGGTCAGGATTATATGCACCAGTCTTGATTTCCTTGAACAGGTCATGCTTTTTTGAGGGTGAGGTAATTTAACTTTACAAGTGTATCCAAGAAAGCACGTTTAGGTGGCCTGGGGATGTAGCTCAGTGGTAAAGTGCTTGCCTAGCATGCATGGGGCCCTGGGTTCCATCCCTGCTACCAAAAAATAATGCAGGTTTAGGACAATCTTTTAGTGTTTTGATACATCTTGTTTGCCTGGCGTCTTAAGGCAACTAGTCTGTCTACACCTGCGAATTGTTTTTACTTTTTTAAGCCTCTATTATGTGCTAAGCCTCTAACCTTTGCTAAGCAATGGGGTAAAAGCTGCTGTTACTCTAAATTCCTCATCTTTTGGTGGCGACAAATGTAATTAAAATATGCTGTGATGTGTATTTTATGAGGAAAGAATATTTTGTGGGAACTCAGGGATTGGAGATGGGGATAAAGGTAGCAAGAAAGATGACAGACATTATAAAGCTGGATGCTTTATTTATATTGTTGTAAATTTAGCTCTGTCTAGTTCATAATTTGTATAACTGGTAGAAGTATCATGTGAAAACGGACAGTGGCTAAAAATAGCACATAAAGTTGTTACTGATCAAAGAATAATACACCATCCTTGATGAAGTTTAGATCTACAAAATTTGACACAGGACAATGAGATATGATAAAAATATTAACAATCAAAGACAATTCTGGAAGCAGAAGCTATAATAAAATATGATATGCCAGCTAGAGGCATAGAGCATGGGAGACCCTGAGTTTGATTCCCCTACCACAAAAAAATAAATATGCATGCTTAAAACTTCTTAAATGGAATATTTTTAAATTTTAGTAACAACAGTGAAATGAAGAAAATCAGAGCAATCCAAATGAGTAATAAATTGATCAAAGAATAAAACTTATTTAGTAGAGTTTGTTCATTCTCTACCCCAATAATTCAATATTGGCATGTCTGGCTAAAACCTTTCATTAGAACATTTTGAGAATCAGTAATATCAAAAGACCCTAAACTGTTTTAGTACTTCACAAGGAAGAAAGCTTTAGGAGAAATTTCCCAACAAACATAACCTAATGCAAGCATAGTGGAAAACTCACAGGTTTTATCTATGAAAGAAGAAGAATTTTAATCAATGGTTTTTCTCTTAATAAATTTCCATAAATAAGCTGTTGACCTTTCTGATCCTAATTTACTCCTCTATAATATTAAGGAAATAATCTACATCACAGTCATATTATCTAATTAATCCTCAAAATTTCTAGTTCAGGATCTGACAGATTTAAGAGCAAATTGTATCACTTGAATGCCAAAGCCTTTGCACTGTAACTTTTTGGTATGGGAATCTAAGATGTCATATACTTCCCTTCCTCCTTTAAATGTTTTATTTTTTAAAAAATGCTTTATAAAAGAAAGCCCTTTCCTTCATGCTTCAGGGTCATCATTATGACAATTACATTATATGTTAACAATACTGGAGACCCAAAGACTATGGGGCAATTCCATGCTGTGGGTACACATATTTGAATGTAGTCAAGTCTTGTGGTCTCTTATACTGCCTTTACATTACTGGGGCCAAGAAGTCATAAAGAAGGGTATAAAAAGCATTAAAAGATTTTTCCCATAAGTTTTACTTACTAATGTCTTTTCTTACTACTCATTTATTTTCACTTTCATGGTATATTTGAGATTTTTTTTTTTACTGGTTCTGTAACCTGTAAGTGAAGAATGACTTTTCCTTACAAATTCCTGTATGACATTGTAACAAAAATCATGCCATTTTCAGTTAGTTTTAAAAATAATTATTCCTAGACATTTACAGATGAAACAACATGTCTTGGATTGCTTCAAATAATCTAAGAAGCAGAAGGATTGAGGGGCTAGTGAATAAGGTGAAGATGAAACAGGGTTTATTGTGTGTTGTGGTTTTGGTGGTGGGCATGGTAAGGGGAGAGGGAGAGGGGTACCTAAACCATTCTTTTTATTGTGAAAATTTCAAACACATATGAATTTTAAAACAGGAAGAGGCATACACATTTACTAACACCTACAAAATGTGTCCAAAATTAAGAGGAACTAAGTTTTGATTGGGATCTAATTCGCTGTGGTTCAGGGATTCACTTAAATTTCATTAAACCCTTTGTTTTCTCATTTGTCCAAAGAGAGCTTGGAGATTGTAATACTACATTTCTAGGCAACTGACTACAATTAATATCATGTAGATATTTTTAATCATTTGCTTTTAAATAAAGATTAAATTGGTGGTATTCACTTATATTTCAAAATATGTTTTCCACAATATAGTTCAGATTTAAGACAGGATAAAAGTTTTAAGTTTAAGTGTTCTTAAATATTGACAGATAACTATCAAACAATATTTTCTAATGGTTACTTCCAACATTTTTTCTAATACTGTCTTTTCTATTTAAAACTTTTTAAATTTGTCTCCATAATAGTTAGTAAATGTATTAACATACTTAGTTACAAATTAAGGCAAAATATATTGCTTTCTAGAAACTTTAATAATTCAAAACATAGAGTACAGTATTGTATTTCATACAATATATAGCACAGTTTACCACAGATTTTATATATATGCTTTCTATTTTTTAAATGAATGAAAAGTTTTCAATAACTTGAATTTTGAGAAAACAAGTTTAATTAAGATTACTACCAAGTTATGATTTAATATTTATCAGATGTGTAAATATACAAACCGTGATAGCAAATTTTAAAACTTGTAAATAGTTGGCCTTACAAAATTACAACACACTGTAAATAAATCCCTCCAACATTTTATACAAACTACATGATTTTGATATACAAAGATTCTGTTTTTACACTGACAATGTACAACCGAGATTATTTACAATGAAAAAAGTATATAAACCACAATTTAACATTCTGCTACTGGCAGCCACTATAGGAGGTAGCTTTAATTAAACGAACTGAACAGAAGCCATGTTTCCCAACTTGTGTTGTAAAAATAATTTACATAAGATAAAAATTCTTTATATGCACAGTATGTACAGTTTAAATATTAAACTGTAATCTAGCTTAATTTTTTAGTATATCCAGGATAATAATATGGCAGTAGGTTTGCTATTTAGTACATTGTTCAAAAAACATATTGAGCAATTATAACTTTAAGACTCCACAAAAAAAACATGGCAGAAGACCCTAGATGAGAATCAGGTAAAATTTTTAATTTTCAAAGACATAGGACTAAACTTTATCCTTTCTTCCCCCCACCTTAATGATATGTCTGTCTAGTCTAACAAGAACTCAGCATATGAACTATTGAATAGGTTTTTTTGTAAGTCATGGTATGGGAAAATTTTATAGAAGCTTCCAAGTAATAACATAAGTTTAGGAGTATCCAGTTCACTAAGAAATAAATTTAAGTGCTTTGTGTCATATTTATTTTCAGCTTCCTCCAATTAAAAAAAATGACCCCAGTTTACTTTCTGTATAATCCATACTGTAAAGAGATGACATAAGAACAAAACTGGAAAATATCAGTAGAACCAATGATATTAAGAAGCATTTATTAATGGGAACATTACATGGAGCCATCAAATCCCTTAGGTACTATTAAAATCTTATTAGTAAGTAGTGTAGCCAAAACTACTTAAACTCACACATCAATTAGCCATTTATTTTGTACTAGTAATATAATTGCAAATCACTGAAAATCCTGGTGAGCATTACAAAGCAATGTAAAATTATCCCAAACAAATGTACTGATTTTTTTATTCTAACAGCTGTTAATATGGTTTTTAAAACATCTTCAGGTTTTTATAGATTTATAAAGCAATTGAACAAAATTTGTGATTCTCATGTAAAAGTGGAAATAGAAAACAATGATACCTATGCGTACTCTCACAGTTCTACTTGGGAGACAATCCCTTTTTTGGCCCTGTAGTAAGTTGTCCTGAGATTAATGATCAAATATTAGGTAAAATTAGCAAGACTTTTTTGTCGGTTATATAAAGTCACATTTTGAACTACCTTTTTTAAAAAATATTAACAGCTGTCCTTTATCTTGTGCTTAATTCAGAAATAGGTATAAATTTGCTCCTTATGGATCTGAAAAACCTAAAAGTTATATTGCTATACCACACCCAAAATCCTTTTCAAGTTTTGTTTTAAATAGACCACACATTCCTTGGACATTGCATTTTTCACCAATTAATAATTTAGGCACCTGTTCTTTGAAAAATATCAGATTTGAGAAATAAACTGCCACCTTCCCTTCTATGTGACACCAGGCAGTGATTACAGAAGTGCTTCCCAGATGAAAGAACAGAATAGGGTTCACTCTACAAACACTGTGAATTTGGTTGATCGGGGAAACAGTTACAAACACAGTAGTTCAGTCTTTACCTCTTGGTAGATTGTAAGCATAGCGCACCAAAGGGAATCCTCTGATAGAAGCAGGCTCGTCCACACACCTGCACTTGGTCAGAACTGTCTGAGACAAAGGAGTCTTCTTCATCTGCATAGTCAGAATGGGCTGACTGTGTGCCACAATCAGACCAATATCCCTCTGGTCTTTGGCAAGAAGCCACTGCCAATGCAGGACAGCTGTGTGATTTTATTAAGTGTTTGAATGATACTGGCTTTGTCAAAAGAAAAGATTCACAGCAGTCACATACAGTCAGGTTACCCTGCAAGTGTGAGTACATGCCACAGTCATAGTAGAAATCCTGTTCCACACAACCACCTTGGCTACTGATGGAAACTGAAACTGATCCACTTTTCTTGGTAACGTGTCACTTCAGTAACTTCCAGTCTTCTTTAAATTTTGGATTGAAGAAAACATACAGGACCAGATTTAGGCAAGCAGGCAATGGGAAAAATATCAGAGTAACAGACTTCATTATTTCAGGACTGATAGAGATTGCAGTGGTCAATGGTGCAAATGATAAAAATGCAACAGGGCAAAAAAAGATGCAGTTGGTGAAAATTAGCCAAGCAACATGCTTAATCATGCTAGACTGTGAGTTTTCTGAGAGGTCTTCTTTTTCCAAGTTGCAGTGAAGTTTAGTGTAGATGACGGCCATTAATAAAAATGCTAGTGAGTTTAAAAACACTAACATCACAGTAAATCCTAATGATGGCATCTCTCCTGTGGGAAATGGCAAGCACAAGGGTGATGCAGAATATTCCCCTCTATGGAAAAGGGGGAAACAGCCTGATACTGCAGCACCCAGAAAAGCAAAAAGGGCCGCAATCTGGAACTGCTTGAGATGATTGCTTTTCCCATTTTTCATGATATTTTTTGCAGATAAGCTTCTTTTAACAGCTGCTAACATTAATAAAAATATGGCACTTTCTAAGGAAAAAACTGTAAGGAACCCAGCTGCTTTGCAGCCACTGCCAGTCTCCCACCAAATGCCAAATTCAGCAAATCTGCCCCAGGATTCGGCATCAAGAAAAGTTAAGATGCCAGTATAGATTCCCATGAAGAAGTTAGACACAGAAATCAAGCCTATGAACAACTTGGAGGAAGGTCGTGATGTACAAGATGTGAAGGTTGTTAAAATGACTAGCAGGTTGAAAAACAATGCAACTAAGAAAATGAACCACATGGTGGGACGTATCATCCAGCTTCCCAGTAAATATTCACAGGGCTTAAAAGCACCTAACATGAAAAAGAAACAGAAACATGAAAGACAATTTAGAAAATACCATATTTCATTTAATATTCTTGATAGAATGACTAATGATGGTTGAATCTAGAATAAATAAGCTACCTAATTGAATTGAACCAAACTGAAAAAAAAAATATTGCTTTTAAGATATTTCAGTCACAGACTCGGCTACTTTAAAAATTAAGCAGCCTAATATCTTGGGGTAGCTGGCACACACCTATAATCCCAGGGACTGAAGAGGTTTAAGCAGGAGGGGATGGCAAGTTCAAGGCCAGCCTCATCAAATAAGCAAGATCCTGTTTCAAACTAAAAACACAAAAAGGGCTCGAGGGAGGGTACTTAGTAGTAAAGCTCCCCAGGGTTCAATCACCAGTACTGAAACAAAACATAACCAGGATTAGTTTCTTTTATTATTTGGTAAGGCCATATAGAGATATTTCCAAGAAAATTTCTACTTTTTCTTTTTCTTTATTCTTTTATTAAATATTTTTTTTAGTTGTAGATGGACACAATATCTTTATTTTTTATGCGGTGCTGAGGATTGAACCCAGTGCCTCACACATGCCAGGCAAGCACTCAGCCACTGAGCTATAACCCCAGCCCTCTACTTTTTCTTATACTAAATATACAAAGCACAGTATCTAGCAAATAAAGGTACTTAAAATATTGAGGGTCTGGAATCAGATGTTTCATAACTTGCTACTCTTACCTTAAAAAAGCCACTTAAGCCTAATAAGTTGCATTTTCTGATATGTAGATAATAATGCCTACTTAATACAGTTGACTGCTTAAGTAAATTTGCATACATAAATACTTAAGCAAGCTGCTGGGCACACAGTGGAACTTTAGTAAATATTAGCCTTTTTTTTCTTCCTTCCTTATCCCTATGTATTTCATTTAAAAAAATATTCGTATTAGTTGTTGATGAACATTTATTTGTTTGTTTGTTTGTTTATACGTGGTGCTGAGAATCGAACCCAGTGCCTCAAACATGGCAAAAGCTTTACCATTTACCACTGAGCCATAACCCCAGCTCTCTATATATTTTATAACTGTATATGTATGTATATACACAGATTTGTAACATTTTAAACCCAGTTTCTTATGGCATTTAACAGCAACCTGCTGAAGTTGGTTATGGTAGATAATCAATGTTAAATATTCATACAAAGATTGGCACAATCTCCAGCCCTTTTGAAAAGGATTTATATTGAGATATGGCCTCACTGAGTTGTATAGGCTAACTTTAAACTTGCCATCCTCCTAGCCTAGCCTTCCAAGTAGCTGGGAATACAGGCATGTGCCACCTCATCTGCCTGGGGCTCTCTCTTAAAGCAGATAAATTTCTTGTAACAGTGTCTCTAGCAAGTTTCCCCAAAATATCCTGTGCTCTAATGGGCTTTGGCTTATGAGAGGCCAGTGTTTTGGGGTAGAAATACTACCTGCTTTAAGTAGAAAGGGGATTGCACAAGAGGATGTCAGGCACTCCATAGAATCATTGTTATGGCTGGAGAAATCATTGACCAAAAATCTGTTTTAGATATGACAGTTTGGATTATAGGCCTGTGCCATTGCACCTGGCAACAGTTTTACTTTAAATTGCAGTATTATTATGAAACTTTATATATACTTGATTTGCATCCACCTTTCTTAAGAGACACCTCATTGAAAGGGAGAAACTTTGTGGTATATCTTTATGATCATTTTTATGAGCTTTACCAGAGTGTTTAACATAGATAAGGTTCCTAGAGGATAAATTGTCAAGACTAAATTATATGATACTTAGACTTTTCTGACCCATAGGTTGGGGTTTTCAAAGATTAAAATGCTTTTTCCAAAACAAAATTATGTCTATGAAGTTGCTACTCAGAGTGTATTTTACAATTTTCCCCCAGGTCTTTTTCAGTACCATATGCTTATCAGTGCTGTGAATTTTGGGGCTGTGACTCTTATGCAAATTTAAACATAAAAGATAACAGCCTTCAAGATACCATAGTGTGACAAAGGAGAAAGGCAAGTACATGAACCTTTAAAAACAGAACACTCCCTAAGCCATTAATCAAAATGTATGTGTTGTAATCAGTTTGGGAAGGATCAATATGAAGTCTGTGAGAAAAATGGTCTTTCCTGTGTTACTGGCATATTTAATGTGTTATCAAGCCACATTTGTATACACTGAACACTCAGATTGCAGGTGTGTGCCATGCCTGGGTTGGCCATTGATTTTATAACTTAGAATCATCAGTGCTGTTAATTCACTAATAACTGATGCTGAATTGTGAGCTTCTTAAGGGGTCTATGTATGTATGCTTTGAATATTTAACCCATTTCCTTGTGTGGAGAAGGAGAACAAACTTAATTTTAACAGATGAGTAAGTGCAACTAGCATGAATCATTTATGTAATTTAATTTATTGTGCAGATATTAATTTTCGACAGTTAGGAATGCAGTTTACTCTTTTGCCCATGAATGATTCAAGTGTTGGAGATTGTACACAGAACTGATGATCAGTGAGAAGGAAACAACATACTTTTTGGAGGGGATGGTGGTACCGGGGATTGAATCCAGGGGTGCTTAAACATTGAGCCACAGTCTCAGCCCTTTTTATATATTATTTATAGAGGCAGGGTCCCACTGAGTTGCTTAAGGCCTTGCTAAGTTGCTGAGGCTGGCTTTAAATCCATGATCCTCCTGCCTCAGCCTCCACAGCTTCTGGGATTATAGGTGTGTGCCACGTCGCCTGGCAGGAAACAGCATTCTTTGCAGTACTGGACACACCTATAGTTGGGTTCATTCTGGAGGCTGAGGCAGGAGGACTGCAAGTGCAGGGCCAGTGTCAGCAACTTAATGAGACCCTCGCCAATTTAGAGTTTCTCCCTTTCAATGAGGTGTCTCTTAAGAAAGGTGGATGCAAATCAAGTATATATAAAGTTTCATAATAATACTGCAATTTAAAGTAAAACTGTTGCCAGGTGCAATGGCACAGGCCTATAATCCAAACTGTCATATCTAAAACAGATTTTTGGTCAATGATTTCTCCAGCCATAACAATGATTCTATGGAGTGCCTGACATCCTCTTGTGCAATCCCCTTTCTACTTAAAGCAGGTAGTATTTCTACCCCAAAACACTGGCCTCTCATAAGCCAAAGCCCATTAGAGCACAGGATATTTTGGGGAAACTTGCTAGAGACACTGTTACAAGAAATTTATCTGCTTTAAGAGAGAGCCCCAGGCAGATGAGGTGGCACATGCCTGTATTCCCAGCTACTTGGAAGGCTAGGCTAGGAGGATGGCAAGTTTAAAGTTAGCCTATACAACTTAGTGAGGCCATATCTCAATATAAATCCTTTTCAAAAGGGCTGGAGAAGTAGCTTAGTGGTAGAGTGCACATGCAAGATCCTTGTTCAATCCCCATACTGCATATATATATATATATATATATATATATATATATATATATATATAGAGAGAGAGAGAGAGAGAGAGAGAGAGAGAGAGAGAGAGAATCTGTAGGAAGCCTGTACATCCCCTTTCCTTAGCTAATTCATGTGGTTAAACCAACTCCAGTTGGCTTCTCTTATTCTTCAGCCCAAACATTCAAACTGGGTCAAGCAGGGAGGCAGCAATTTATGGGGGATAAACATGCATCCTCCCTGCCATCTGGAGCCACCCCAATTCCTGTGAAACCTCCTAAAGTAGCCCTCTCCCCATCAGTCCTACTCAGGTAAGTGCTGTCTGGTTCTAAGCACTCAATTTGAGAAAGAACCTCCTTCATTGGCCTCTCACATCCTTTGATTATCTCTTTGATGGGTATAAATGGTCTTTAACTTGTCCAGCTCACACATCTGGTAAGTGGCAGAGCTGAAGGTTTGGACATTCAAGCTTTTAACCACCAAGTTTAATGCCATATACCATCTAGCCTCATTAAACTAAAAAAAAAAAAAAAAATAGGGCCCTGAGCCAACCCCCCCCCCCGCAAAAAATTGAAATCCCACTCCATATTTTATACTTGGCCTTGAACACACCTTGTAAGTATTGCTGAGAAATAAAGTTGATGGTGCCAATTTTGTAGAGTCTGGTTGTCATTTGCACTGCTCACCAGTGACTTCTGGCTCTTCACCTTCTGGGAACCTGCAGGATTGCACTTCCAGGTCACGTGACTAGTCCTGACCAAAGAGTGTGCATGGAAGGAGTTTGTGCCATTCCTGGGTGGAGCATTTAATGCTAGTGAGAGATGAGCCTGAGATATGTCTCTCTGATAGGACAAACAATAATGCCCGTTAAGATGTTTTCTCCATTGAGCAGAGCCCTCAACCAAACTATCATGGTCGCATAATGTGAGCAAAACACAGATCTTTTTGATTTTAAGCCATTGAAATTTGGGGGTTAATATCTATCATAGCCTGCTGTAGTCTATCCTGACTGATTTAGCTAGCCTCCTATATCCATATTTCAACCAGTTGAGGATCAAAAACTTTCTTTAAAAAAATTGCTTTGAGCGCTGGGGCTATAGCTCAGTGGCAGAGTGCTTGCCTAGCATGTGTGAGGCACAGGGTTTGATCCTTACACTGCATAAAAATAAAAAATAAAATAAAGGCATGCTGTTCATCGACAACTACAAAAATGAAAGTAAAATTTTTTTTAAAAAAAATTGCATTTATGTGATAGGGTGTGGCTCAGTGGTAGAGCACTTGCCTAGCATATGTGAAGCACTGGGTTTGATCCTCAGTCTCACATTTAAAACAATAGATAAAACAAACAAATAAAATAAAGGTATTGTGTCCATATGCAACTAAAAATATTTTTAAAAACTGCATTTTTACTGAACATGTATAGACATATCTTCTTGTCATTATTTCCTAAGCAATACATTATAACAAGTATTTTCATAGAATTTACATTGTACTATTTTTATAAGTAATTTAGAGGTAATTCAAAATGTACCAAAAATAAGTATAGGTTATAA